GGCTCCCTCAGCGTAGGCTTGGGAGGGAGGACGGGGAAGGCGGTCCGGCATGGGCGCACGCGATGGCTGCCCGCGTCTCCTCGGCTTTGCAGCTGCGGTGAACCCGGAGCAGGCCGGACCCAAGGGGAACCTGGCACAGCTCCTGCCTTCGTAAATGCCTCACCGCGGGACAGGCTGGGTCGGGCGCTGTGGTGGAAGGGCGCGTTAAAGCGTTCTGGAGCTGGTAGCAAGCGATGCAAGAGGGAGGTTAAAATCTGTTTTAAAGAAATTAAAACAATCGGTGCTGAGCGCTGGGGGTATGGAAGGAGGCTTGAGCCCATGTGCGTGCTCGGAAGTGACGGGGGGGGGGGTCTGTTTTAAAGAAATTAAAACAATCGGTGCTGAGCGCTGGGGGTATGGAAGGAGGCTTGAGCCCATGTGCGTGCTCGGAAGTGACGGGGGGGGGGGCCTCTGGCTCCTGCTGCCATTAGGGAAATATTAACTTAGAGTTCTGCCAGCATTTGGGGCTAAAACAGGTTAGAAAGTACCTTGCAGAAAACAGCTTAAGACTGAATAGGCGCAAACGACAATGCAAATTCCTGTTTTTACGGTTGATGCATTTACAAACCGGCCATTTTCTGGAAATCCTGCGGCAGTTTGTCTGCTTGAAAATGTAAGTTAAAAAAAACAACTTTTATGAGGCGCTGCAGCGGCATTTAACACTGTACTTGACCTGAGCACTCAGTACTGCATTAGACTTTGCTTCCTTTACTCAGGAGTTCTGCTTGCAAGTGCTGTTTGCTATTGCTCCAGAATACAGATAAATTAGCACAAGGGTACTCTTTTTCCATCAGAACGATTTCATACAAGACATACTTTGTATTTTTTGTGGATTTTTAATTTTATTTTTTTAAGGAATATAGTGGTTTTATTCTTACTGAGTTAAGTCAAAAAGAAATGGCTTAATCTATTAAGCCAATGGATTCAGAATTAAATCTCTGAAAGGAAATGCAGTAACAGAATCAGTACTCTAGTTTTTGAATGAAGTGTTAAAGGGTGGGTTTTCGTTTTGGTGTGGGTTTTTTTGGGTTCCCCCCCCCCCTTTTTTTTTTCCCATTCCATTTTTTCTCTTTCTATGGAAGAAAAGAGGGGGAGTATAGACCTGGATCTGAGTCTTTCACCATTAGCATGTCAGGTTCAGCTTTAGCCAAGTTTAAACAGCCAGTTTTTATTGCTTTGAAGTTGCATGGTAGTTTTAGTGGAATTGACAGTAGTCATCCTCCTCATCAAGGTGTTCTAAACAGTTGGTACTAATTGGTACACTGTTGACAATTTCTACTAAAAACTAATTGTGAAACTGGATTAGAAATCTATAGGCCTTATATTATTTGTATAGTAACAATTGATGAAAATTACAAGTATGAAATTATATGTAGAGCAGTCAATGGCAATAGCTTGTACCGATAATATGAGTCCTTTCTAGATGTTTCTAAGCCTATCTAGATCTCATACAATATAGCCTACTTACCAGACCAGCTGAAGTTATGGTGTAGCCTGCTTACCAAACCAGGTGAGAATGTCTGTCTTCAGAGGTATTTCTGCCCCCTTAAAATCTAAATACTCCCTCTCAGAATGAACTTACTTTAAAACTATAAGCTTCTAATTGCATTTTTATATTAATTTTACTTTATTACATTAATATACTGTGAGGGCAACTTATTTGCATGTTGCCTTTGGAATGTAGAGATTTTAAAGTTTTTTCTACAGTACCTGGGGCTAGAGGATTTAGTGTCAAAGTTAAAGCTGAGATTCAGTTAAAGCTGTGATTCTAATTCATAATTTTATCCTAAGCTCCAAGAAAATATGGTGTAGCTAGCAGCAATATTTCTGTTCTCTGTTCCCTTCAGAGTTTCAGCAGATGCTTTATGAAAACCGTTGGGAGTAATGTAAGAATGGCAAAACAAGCCCTTTCTGTGTTTCAGAAGTGCCACAGGATGGCAGTGTTTCAATAAAGTTATATTATTTTTAATAACACTTTGGTTGGTCTTTGTTCTGGTTTAGTATCTTTAGAGTAATTGACAGAACTATTTTCCTGGAATAAAGGAGAGGCAGTTGTTACCGTAAAAAGTTAGAATGTTGTTTCATTCTATAGAATTCACTCTGCGAATAGAGGTCTATGATACACATCAGAGATTGTTTCATATCTGTAGTATGGGATCATTGGCTGAAAAGGATTAAAGTTATTAAGGGAAATAAGTAAAGTTTGCAGAGCAAATTTTTATCTGTCAGAGGTTGAACCTGACCAGGTCCATTCTGTACTTTGTTTCATTTGTGTTTCAGTATTTTAAAGATCAGATTCTCAAACCTGGCCAGACAGCATAATTGTGAGGAAAGAGCAATGGAACAAGGGTGAAGTACAATTTTATAAAATCGCTGCAGCTCAGGTGTCCTGGGATCAATGTTCACTGGTTTAAATCTGCAGGCAGTTAGAGCAGAATGTAGTGAGCTCCAGCATTTTTGTTTTTCGGTTTATCTCCTCTCAGCTTCTGATGACTTAGCATATTGTTCCCATTGTTCAAAGAGTAGTATCGAGGGTACAGCTGTAAGCGCTGATCAGTCATCTTGGCCATTGCCCTAGCCATTACTAGATACCTCTTGCTGGCATGGATTTTTCAGAGTTATAAAAAGAGAGTTGTAGTTATTTTTAGATTATGTTAATAATGACTTCTCAGTGTGACTTTAATCACGAATTTAAAAAAATATTTATGTTCATGGAAAGACTGAGTTTAATTTTTTTGGTAATTTTATTTTCCATGTATTCCAAGAATTTGTAAACTAATAGGACAGATATTAGAAATACCCACGTATGACAATGATTGAACTAGTCATCCCATTTTATGCTTAAAGTTTGTTTTTAGTCCCAGAAAGTATTTTGAAATAAAAATGAATCTATGTTTTATTATAAAAGAAAATTAAATTACTACTTATTTGACAGAAAGTTTGATTCTGCATTTTTTGGCCTGCTTTTAATCGGATTTGTTGTTTCATCATTAGGACTTGGATGAAGATTTGCACCAAAAAATCGCAACAGAAATGAACCTTTCAGAAACTGCTTTCATCAGAAAACTGCACCCTGGAGATGACTTCACCAAAAGTGAGTGGTTCTGTTTACCCACCAAAATCTCTTACAAGGGAATAGGAAGACACTGTGGGTGCATTTATAAGGAACGGTGCTAATTTGTAAGGCTGCCAAAGCCAAATCTTGGAATTGTGATGTATCTCAATAATAATAATAAGCCTTTTGCACATGGATTCTTTAAAGTATTTGTGCTGCATATCAAATCCATTTTGCAATATAGAAACATTTATTATTCATAAATTAGACCATTTGTTTTAGTGTCTTTTACTAAATAAGCAAGTTGTATGTAGAAAATCTCCTAAAAATGCTATGCAAAGATCCTTCAGTTAATACTTCCATTACTACTAATAATATCTGAGATAATTTCTTATTATACAAGCAGAAGAATACAGACAGGACATGCTTATTCCATATGCACAAGACTGCAAAATGAGTAGAATCTGACTTGGCTGTTCAGGAAATCATCGCTAGGGTAACTGTAAGCTATTATTTGAGTTTGTCATAAAATCTCATAAGCTGTCTGTGGAGCCAGTACTGGAAAATTCAGGTTTCCAACAAAACTGGGAAATCTGAAGTTGCCCAAATCAAACACATTAGGCTGCTCATTTGATTGGTTTGAGTGGAGGGACTTCACTGGTGTTCTTTGGTAGGGCATGTATGTATGACGGGAGAGGAAATGGAGAGACACTAGACAAGGTAGAAAATATCAGACAAATACAGAGTCCAGTCAAAATCGCTTTGTGGATTAGTTTTCAGCTGAATCAGTTTGCTGAATCTGCTCACTTTGCAGTTGTGTGGTGGCATGATCCAAGGGGCTGGAACCCCACTAGCCCAGAGTTAGATTCCAGGTTAAGGTATCATATTGGCATGCCCTTGCTTTGATATCACATAGTGGCAGAGAGAGATAAACAGCTTCGGGGTTATCGTCTGTCTGAAAGAGGCCCTAGAACAGTATGCAAAGAAACTCTTCTTTATCATTTGTTTGTTCAGGGAGTGGGATTTTGTACAGTCTCTGTAATGAAAGAGGATTTTCTTAAAGTAGTAACTATCGTTGCTTACTCCTATTGTTAATAAATTGGAATTTATTTTAGGGTTAGACTAATTGCTTGAATCAAGAAGTGATAATACTTTTCATTTTTCATGTTAACATTTTTCATGTTAACACCTTGCCAATACGTTTAATACACATTTATTTTCAAGTCATCCATATCCAACAGCATGTAAAATGCCAGCTTCTTTCTCATTAAAGTGCTTTTGATATTAATGGGAGTAGAGTTTGTGACATCAGACCCACACAGCTGCTGAAGAGGTGCACAGGTTTTTTTGAAGGACTTAGTCACTGAGCTGCACCTGAGAATGTGTGTATTATGGGGTGGTGGGAGTGAGATGAGACCAGGAACATTAGAATGTCATTTATGAGACTATTATCTGCTTCTGGAACATTAATTGGTGTAGTAAGGGCTCCTGGACAAAGAGAATTTTTTTTCAGGAGTGTGAGTTTGTGATCAGTGCATTTAATTTAATTTTAATTTTAAAAAATCTACCTTATTTTAGGGATACGTTAATTTTTGAGAGTACAAAATGTCTTCTCAGTCTGAGTACAGCTGTATGTCTCAAGCATCCAGGCAGGTGTTCTGGGTCACAGAGCTGGTCTGTCGCTGGTCGGTCACGGCTGATTCCATTTCCTCCTGCTTTCAGCCACAGTTGCCACTTGGGGGAGTGCATTAACACCACAGGGCAGGCTCACAGCTGGGTTCTGGGTCTGCCCTGTCTCGGAGCACTTCTCTGCCGTGTCCATTAGTTTCATCCACTAGGTTTTGTTGGGATTCTATTTGTTTTCATTGGATAGGGAACTGACTTTAATGCACTAATTTTTCACAGGGGCACTGACAAGACTTGTTTGTTGGGTTTTTTTTAAATATCGTTTGTTTCTTTTGCACATTTTAGTTGTGTTTGTATGGTAATTATTCACTTGAAATATATTTTCATAAGCATTATCTTAAATGCCATGGTGCAAGAACTCTGCAAAAGCTACAGGAAACCAATATAGTGCACTTGGGTTCAAATTTTTTCAAACAACAAATAGAAATATGATTTCTAGTGAAATGAGGGGTTAGTATACATTAGAGGCTTTTACCAGACTTGACTGGTGGTTTAAGCAAAATAATTCATAACTGACCTAGCTCCGATACAGGCTCCATTATACCAACAAAACTATCTTTAACCCCTAAAGGGTAACCCAGCCTGCAGGTGAATAGAGATCGCGACTGTGACTTCATAGAATTCCATAATACACAAGGACATAGAGGTTTCGTCTTCTAAATTCTCTACTTTATTACAGATTACCACAAAAATCACCACTAGCAAGTATACTTATGATTAATAAAGTGAAAAAAAATACATATATATCAAGCTATTACAAATTATTATCAGTGATCAATAGCATAGCAGGAATCAGTAATAGCAGCAAGAAGTACATATATAATATTACAGGTTACTACAAACTTAACGCTAGTCAATAATATGACAGCAGAGATGATAGATTACTTATGTGTCTATATATATGGTACCAAACACATTAAATAGATTCCAGAGGGGAGGACAAACAGATCCCAGAAGGGGACGCAGGCATCCCAGAAGTGGGAAGACAAACCAAACTGAGCCCAGAAGTGGGCCCAGAGGGGGACCAGTAAAATAACAGAGTCTCACTTCAAAGGTGATCTGTGTCATGGAGTTTGGAGTCAGCCATGTGTCCCCGGCAAGGGTCCATGATCTTGTAGAAAGTTTTTGCAGACCTGTTTAGGAAAGGGAAAAATATATGCAGCACAGAAAGTTCTCGAAGAGAAAAGCTCCATTTTGGGTAAAAATTAAGTAATTTTTATATCATAGAGACATAAGAGAACATGACACCACCACTTCAAGAAGCCAGTAGATGCTGTTAATTTATATTTTTCACCTGGAACAGCCAATAGATGATGATGTTTTCTATTCTCTCAGACCAGTTTTTATTTTTGCAGACTGTTTTCCTGTTCTTTCAGTTAGACCAGCCAGTGGCAGTTACTGGTTCTTGCTTTCTCAGGATGTTTTCCCCTTTTTCCAGACTATGTTTCACCTTTTCAAGGTGATAAGTTGCTGTTACAGTTTGTTGGTTTTATGCTTAGCGATTAAATCTTGGCATGTCTCCACTTTCTAGCTACCCAGCAGCACTTCGAAGGTGCCAACTGCACTTCTCAAGGATGCTTCTGGTTCACAGGCCTAGTTCCCAGGCCGGCTGGCATTTTTATTCTGCAGCTTCTTTGCTCTTGTAACAAAGTAGCTGTCCTCCGTTAGTAGTAGACTCCTGTTGTTGACCTGACTCAAAAGCAATAGCTATTCCAAAAATCAATACAAAATAGGTTCCTAAAAGTGTGTTTAAGACCAAGACTGATTATAACATGCATTTTGATTAACTGAAATGTCATCGCTCTATGTAAAGTTTTGAGATAAATGGAAGAAATAGACTTCTTCCACTTAATAATGCTAAATAAACCTATATTTTCAAGGTTCCTGCTTTGGACTCAGATGGTTCACCCCAGCCAATGAAGTTCCTCTCTGTGGTCATGCTACACTTGCAGCAGCTGCTGTGTTGTTTCACATACAAAGTATGTTTACAAGCTGTTTATTACTATAACTACTTAGAAAATTTACTTCTAATTAAGAAGATCTCTATTTTCTACAACAGAAGCAATTAAATATTCAGAACATTTAGAGAACACATATAGAGATACCTTAGGTGTTGTCTTCTACAACTGTAACTATAAGGTTGTTGTCTGATGCCTACACTTGGATTCCGATGCCCTACTATTACTCTTGTTTAAAAAAAGTGCTAAAGGTGCAAATGTTATCTGGGAGAGATAGAGTAGAATTTGATGAATAGGGAATATTGCTCTTTCTGTTAAAAGGAAATTCTCATTCATTCTAGGAATGTGCAGGAAAGATTCACTGGCAATTGCTGTTTATTAGCCTCAGCAGATTATTTATCGAGTTAGTTGGGAATTTTTTCTCAGAATACAGGTTTACTGTAGTTATTATATTGTAGCTGCATAACTAACTTTTTCTGAATATACTGAACTGCTCTAAGAGCTATAATAATTTAGATTCAAATTCTTATGTTTGATAATGTTGCAATGTTCTCTCTTTAGAAAACACAAATTCAGTTCTCACATTTGTGACGCTGAGTGGGGAATTAAAAGCCAGACAAGTGGAAGATCATATTGTCCTGGACTTACCACTTTACTTAACCTACCCACAGGTCAGTCAAAATTTTATTCATTAAAGGCTTTCAAGGAAAGTATGTGTTTATGTTTGTTTGTGTATGTAAGTATATCTGTCTGTCTGTAGTTGGATGGATAGATACATATATATGTTCTATTTTTTACAGTGTGGGTTTGTTTTTTTTTTTTGCTTCAGGTACTTCAGGAAGTACAAGAGTTAATAAAGGTAAAAAAAGAATCTTTATGTGGTCTTAGAAGCATATTTATAATAGCTATACTTATTTTTGTATATTAAAATGGCTGAAAAGTGGCAACAGGGCATTGCTTGATGTACTCCTGAACTTGAAACAGTAAACTTTAAAGATCTGAGTCATGCAGCTCAGGAAATGGAATTCTCCAAAAGGCTGCAGTTGAACTTTTGTCTCCCACTACCGTTGACTGGAGTGTCAGTATTTATTTCAGTGGCATTTTCAGCCTATTGTGTGCACGTGAGGGCAATCTAGTGTCCTTGCCCTCTTCTAGGTCCGTGAATTTCTTTCCAAGTTGACATATACAGAGCTCTTAGCACCTACCCCTAACCGTTCATGCACTTAGTGCATTTACGTTTCTTGCTTGCGTGCACTTGAGGGCTGCATGAAACACTTTGCATAAGCCCTGTTCCAGCAGGGAATTTCTTCTACAAAAATGTTAAGGAAATAATATTTCATATTCAAATGACGACGTTTTTCTTTGTCTCCTTTAACTTTTCCACCAGGCAGCCGTTGGTGACATGATTATTCAAGATCTCCGTTATTCTCCTGACACAAAGAAACTCTTAGTCCGCCTCAGTGATGCTTATGAAAGGTGTCTTATACTTTTTTTTTTAAATCAAGTGTGCAGAAATTGAGTCTGCTTGTTTAACCTCTGTTCCTTGTATACTAGGCTCTTTTGTCTAGTTTTAAAACAGGTGGAGATTAAAAACTCTAATTTAAACTCCTGTGTTAAATAGTTATTTTATCTTCTAATGTGAGCTTATTGAACCTGCAAAGCTGAATAAGATCAATCTGAAATCTGTCTCCAAGAAAAGGAGGTGTAGGAAACAGTTTTAACGATGGTGTATTTTCCCCATCCATCTGAATAAAAAAATGATCCAGTAACCTAGCAGGAAATTAGGAGTCTTGCTTCTCAAATGAAGAAGTAATAGTTGCATAGCTATAGAGGTCTGCTTAGTGAGACAGGGCACATTGACAGAATGCCATGGATTCTTATTCCCATTTGACTGTAATCTGCTTACGCATACTTAACAACATCATAAGTAGCTTTATAGAGGAAATTCCAATTCAAATTATTCCAAAGCATTTGTTGATCTCAGAGAGCTGAATTTCATTGTTAAGTCAAGTATGATTTGGATATATATTGCTGAAACACAACTTCTTTAATCAGGCCAAATTACTATTATTTTCACTTGAAATTTGGCCTAACGTTTAAAGATTGGGCTAGGGGGGAGATAGAAATATCCTCATCTGAGTATTTATTATTTTTACTGTTTCAGACTGTATTTTGTAGGGAGGTATCTGCAACTTCACAGACTTGAGACTGTTGTAGAATCCCATGAAGATCTGAATGGTGTTAGTTATTTGCTTGCTCTGAAAGGAGGTGGAGTGCTTATTCTTTGCATTCTGTAGTGATGAAATATTTCTTTCGATGATTAAAATGTTGAAACAAAAGCGTGCTCTTCTGTAGCTGATATCCCAGGATGCTCTGTTTTCAGAAATAAATAGGAAATGCATGGCTTGAACTTTTTTCTCTGCTCACTCAGTGTGTATTATATTCAGGGTAGTCTTCTGTCAAATGACATTGGGAGGACAATGCTAGGAATCTTGTCTCCTCTAACATTTTACTGTGGCTGTTTTGGGGTCGTAGAGAAGATGATTTTGTAGTTTTCTGTTTCTTTTCAATACTTAAGTTCATGTAAAATGAAGAATATGGGCTATTAAAATTCTATAATTATATTCAAGGTCTGTGTTGGAAGAACTGCAAGTGAGCGCACAACGCTTTTTGTCAGCTGAAAAGACGGGAAAGGTGAAAGGACTCATACTCACTCTTAAGGGAAATGCCAGTGGAAAACATAAAGGCCATGATTTTTACTCCAGGTATTTTGCACCTTGGTATGGACTTTTGGAAGATCCTGTTACAGGTATGTGTTTGTGTGATAAACAACTACTACTCTTGTTTCAGTTCAATTAAAAGGTTCTTATTAAACTTCATGAATCTGGTTTTGTACTTTGGAGTTTCTCTTCTAAATTACTGTTTTATGTGGATAGCGGGAGTGTGCTCATTAAACTGAAAACTTTCATGGCTGATGCCAACTCATTCAGAAAAAATCAGCTTCTTGCTGTCATCAGGCCAGATATTGCTGTGTCTTTTCCAGATCTTTTCCCTGAAGTATTCCAATTAGTGAAAAGCAAGAGACTAGTTTGGTATTGAATGAGTATTGCAGTAGAAGTTCATATCCACTTCTGTTGATGTTCTGCATTTTTTTTTTTGCACTTCAACTGAGATCTCCTCTGGTTTCATGATACTTATTGTGGATATTCTCAGGCCTATGAATAATATGAACTCAGCTAATTGTATATTTAGGGGCAGGAAGACTAGTTCTCTGCCTGTTCCTTTGATGTTCCACTCAGTAGGTGTGATGATGATTGCTGCAGAATGATGTTATTTGCTTAGGTACCAGTTAATCACAGGTTAGTTATTAGTCAGCTGAGAACTTGGTCAAAAATGCTTATTAAATGTTTTGCTAAATAAAGATAAAACTTTCTTTGTTGGAATAATGCTAGTTATTCAACACTCAGAAAGAAAGGTTTACAAAGAAATATAAGCCATGTATTTCAGTTATTTCTTAAGCTTTCAGTCCTGCGTTCTTGATAAAGCCAGGGTCAGAGTCTAGAAGGTTCCTGAATATCTGAGATTTTTCTAGGCTTGTCATAGATCACTGTTGCTTGTCTTCCATCTTTAAGTGTCCTTTCTTTTATAGAAACAAATCTTTTTATTATATTGCTGAAATATACTTTTAACAGTGTTATGGCTTTGTATTATATTTCTTTTCTAATGATTTCTTAATAATGCTACATGTCCTGGTGTCCTTGAGCCCTGATAATTATAGTTACTTCACAGTAGGGTTTCCAGCGGAGTGTCTTTGCCCCTAGCTGCTTATGTAGACTGAAGCAGCATTTCTAGCTATGAATCTGAGAAGTCATCCTAAGTCTTTAAGCCATCTGCTGGTCGGGAAACAAGAAATTGGTCTTTTAGTTTTCAGAAGCTGTGGTGAGACCTTAAAGATCTCCTTGAGTTACATCCTGATACTTGCCAGCATTCAAGACTGAAAAAAAACCCCTGAGGTTTTTTTGTGAAAACTGTTAGGAGAGGAAATGCTTTTGTTTTACACAGTGACTTCTATCCACCTGTTCCTATTCTTAAAAAAATACTCAAAAGCCTATTTAGATTTTCGATGGGTAGCTGTTCGTGTTTCATTGCATAACATCATGTTTAGATGAATATTATTTTGTTATTAATATTCTGAGATTTTGTTATTAGGGAACTTTACTTTTGGTAAACAAATGAGTACTTTGGCTCAAGTATTGTAATCGGTACTATGTGTTATTCCTACCAATTGTGGCTAATCATGAAGCCCTCATCTAGGCAAAATTTCCATTGAAGCCAGAGGATGAGGAAGTAATACTGCTTTATTGTAAATAAATGAAATTATAAAGCCTTAAGTTCTGTCTGCTGTGCAAACTCTTAGGTGTTTTTGCTGTAAACACACATGTGGCACTTGATTTGTTTATGACATTTACATTTTGAATGTGCTTGCTCTATAAAGTAGTGATTCTAATTTAATTATGTACTTTGTTTTCCAATTTCTTTTAAGGATCTGCCCATGCTGTTTTAAGCAGCTACTGGTCAGAGCAGCTGGGGAAGAAAGAAATGCTTGGTAAGAGAAACTGTTTTCTTGCAAAGCTGCCTGTTTATGTAAAAGCTACTCACTAGAAAAGAAAAAGTTATGTTATTACTACAATCCAAACTGTAGCAATAATTCCCTATCCATTTTCTCAATATGAATAGAATACTATGTAGTATTTTGTGTGTGAGGTAACTTTAAGAAATTGCTTTCTTTTCTACCCACCAGCAAGACACATCATGACCACAGGGAGTTCGAAGTGTCAGTTTCTGGATCATAACTCTCTGCAGTTAGTTTTTGATTTTAGCTTTTGGATTTTAGTTCTCATAAACTTTCATCATAACTGAAGCTTGGTGAACTTCAGATGATGTTGTTTATGTGTTTCTTTTGAATTTTACTTTACTACTTGGTCTTTATGGCTTGCATTTTGGGTATTGGGAACACGTATTGGTATTTTCATTAACGATGTGTACTTTTCAGTGCAATTTGGACAGTGTTTCCCTTTCCCCTCACATACATTAAGATGAGACTGAAAAAAGTCATATGGTTTCTGCCTGATTTTGGGATTTTCTTGAGAATTACTCCAGATTAATCCCTTCAGTGACTTCTTTAGGAAACTTAGGGTTTAGAATAGCTAGTGTTATTATGGCTAGATAAGAAGAGATGATGTATTTTTAACATTCAGATTCTACTTACAGAATGTGCTTTATGGTACAGGATTTTTTCTAGTTTCTGATACATCTGTGCATTTAGGTATGAAGATCAGTTTTCCTCAGGATGATGATCTTTTACATGCTAGCAAGGAAGGATATAAGAAAGAATAGTCACTTATGTTACAAGAACAGAAAGAACGTGACTGACCTTAAATGTGTAAGAATGGGGACAAGATACATGGGCATTGGCAAATTTTATTTGTTTGTGATTTTATTTGCAGTCTTACTTTTAAATGATTAAGCCTTAAAGGAATCTGAGATGACTAGACCTCTGAAGTCAAAGAAGAGATTTACTGGTATTCTTTCAATCAGTGAGATATGCTTATTAGATCACGTATTTTTTGTTAAGCAAGAAACTGAAGAACTAGGTGGAAAAAAACAAGAGAAAATATTAATACATGAAAACACTAGATGAAGAGGCATTGAGTGTGTCTTTGCTTCTCATGTTTCTAGTGCTTTGCCAGAGAATGGGAGAACAGAAGCAATACAAAATACCCTAGTCCCTATCTGGTTCCCTAAGAGGGGGCAGGGGATTACAATTCTTTCATGCACCTGACAACAATTAAGTCTTCGGTAACATTTAGTTTAGAACAGAGATTGGATCCATGAACTAATAAGGTTCCTCGTCCATAAAAGTGAATGCTTAGCCAAACAGCTACCTTGAACATAAGCCTTCCTATATTTGGTCAAATGAATCTCAAAATGGATTTTCTTGAGAATAAGGTCTTTAAAGGATCTGTTTGCGCTCCATAGGTCAGTATGGTAATCGACAATGACTGAGACCTTCTCCATGGTGGATTGAAGGAAAGGTTTAACATTCTGTTCTGAAGAGCTCCTATCTGCATTTACATCACCCAAATCTGTGATAGTTTCCATAATGTTGGGGGGAAAAATCCCAACATATTTTCTGAAGAGGAGAAACGGTCTTTGGAAATGCATCCTTATGGACTGGCTGTTTCTCAGAAGATTTTGACGTTTTTGGATGTTAATGTGGAATTTGAAACTCTTATGTGCCATCTATAGACACTGCTTCTTTAAGTAATGAAATAGACAGGAATTCTGTCTGTGTTTTTAAATGATACTTTCTACCTGTTTTGCTTTTTTATGCATTTTGTATGTACTGTGCCATTTCCTCTTTTAGAGAAACTATATCAAGCAGCAAAGACAATTGATACTGTAATCACCTTCTCTAATGTGTTTAGCACAAAAAAAAGTCCTATCTTCCCACAAGATAGATTTTTTTTTTCCTTTTTTTCATGTTTCATGCATATATGTCCTCAAACTTCTTTTGGGGTAGAAATCATACAAAACAGATTTAAAGAGAACAAGTTCATTTGACATCTGATCAACACGTGGTCTCTACATGCGTTTACGAGAAGTAACTTTTCCTTACATGCACGTGACTGAAAGGTATCAGGTAGGACTGGGGTGAATTCTATTACTAATGAGATTATTTGCAAAAGATGGCTGGCAATCAAGAAGATTCCATATCACTGAAGATTAATAAATAAGAGCATCTTTTGACTTTTTAGAAACCTTTGTGTTAGCTTCTGTAATATCTGTAATATCCGATAGCTTCCTTTTATTGCAAGAATAAAGGAAGATTTTCTTCCATAAAATGAAAGATCTGTTAGTTCCAAAGTAGATCACATATGAAATAATGTAAAAATGAGGAACTTTAAATCTATTGTCAGATCTCTCTGGGTTTTGTGACCTCGGAGGAGGTCAGCTGCATCTCTGCTGAAGTATCAGACATAATTTCCTGTGTTTGGGTTCCCTTCCTACTTTATTAGACCAAATTGTCAAACAACAACCACCCCCATCAACTACAAAGAGAATTTTCCAATCTTTTTACAAGGTGAAATACTTCATGATCTTTCTTGAAACTATGTACATGTCCTTGAATTTAAGCTGAGTATTAAATCGGAGTTCAGTATCAGTCTTTGCCTTTTTTTCATTTGAAGAGTCTCTGCAATATTTCAAAAATTATAATCTCTCATATCAGATGTATAGACTTTTATAATTGCTAATGAACGCAATATGTAGCAACTGTCTCTGTATCCAGCCCTTCACATAGTTTTCACATTTCTAAGATAACATTTATAAACATGCATAAGGAATTCGATATAACCAAACAGATTATAGAAGACTTTCCAAATTATTGTGAAGAAAAAGGGCTTTATCCAGGACAGTTTTTAATCTCAGGTGAAGCTAGAGGAATCTTTCTGTACCTGTTTACTTCAGACAACTGTATTAATTTGTGGGGAAATTTTGGTTCTTGTTACTGCCTTTAAGTTCTCTGATTCCTTCCCAGTACAGAACAGGTTTATAGCTTTTTTTTTGGGGGGGAAAAAAAAAACCCAAAACCCAACCAAAACCCAAACCTCACTTTGATAACTATAAGATCATACTTTCACAAATTTTGCCAGGATTTCTTTCAACACAAAGTCTGTCCCATCTTCTAACTTTTCAGTATCCTCACTTTTTTTTTTTGTGAAGAAGTTGCTTTATTAAGGTAGAATAAATCTACCTGTATTTAAGTTTTTGCTAATTTGAATTCTCATGAAGCGAAGAGTTTTGCAGAGTTAATTCCGGCTTTCATCTTTCTCAGGTAATCTCAACATACAGATGGACCACATCAGATTTATACACAAGTGTAACATTTCTGCTAAAGGAGAGGTGTTTCCCTCTATCTATCACCAGATTTATCTACCTTCTTTCTTAGAATAAAAAAAAAAGGACTTCTTGACATCACTTAAGTTAAGGGACACGTGCTTCTTTCATCAGTCCTTTTATAGCGTTTAGAAATTCGACCAAAATAATGGTGATTTCTAAAACCAGATATTTTTACAAGAGTGGCACTTGTTCCTGAGTTGATGTCATTGTGATGATGTCATGAAGAAAATCCATTACTTCTCAAATTCTGAAAGCAGTAGTCATTTAGATACATCTAGGCTGATAAGAAGCTCCTCAAAATGACAGGATAATATTAGTACAAGGCCACTGGCTGCCTTGTGAATGCAGTGGTGCATGATTCTATCTATATTTCTGTGATACCAGGATGCTCAATCTCACAGTCCTTGTACCTACTCTTAAACTTTCCTCTGTCTCAGCTTAATCACAGAGGAGTTCAGGGCACTGTGAATTCAGCTGTTATGTATTATTTCTACAGATCAGAATGTACATACTTGTTTTTATACAAAACGTATAAAAAGTATATGTAGTATGAGATATTCCTAGTCAATACAGACATGGGTGGACGTGCAACAACTTTGTGATCCGTTCAAGCACATCGGAGATGCTTGAACGTCTCTGGAGACACTGCTATTAAATGAAATCCTCTAGTTATTGAAATGTTCCATGCAGGTCTGTTTACTTTCATACATAGTGTGAACTGTCAATGTTTCTGTGTGAGAGAAAGAAAAGATCAAGTATTATTTTCACATAAGCTTGGGTAAAGTTTTCTTTTGTGTTTTTTTTTTTCTTCTACTTTGAAGGTTTCTTTAAAAAAAAATGAAATGGACCATTATCAAAACAGTCTCAGTAATCCTGCCATGAAACAGACAGCACTGGTTCCACATTTAAAGAAAGAAAAAAAAAAAACCTAACCAACCTCTGAAGATTTAAAATAATTTAATCTCTCTTATTTATATCTGCTATCATGAGGGAGTGGGAGAGTTTAGCTGTGTATCGCCACTTGGCAATAATAATTGATCAAATTTAGCATGGTCTGGATCTCTAAGTGTGCAAAATGTTCCAATTGAAGGCATTGCTCCATACGTAGATGTTGTTCTGACAAGTTAAAAACATTAACTGGTAGTTCTGTAAATGGAAAAGAACAGAAAGTATCAATATCAATCTTTCTATAGCTTCTGTTTCCACTGTTTTGGAGTGTTTGTCTGAGAATCTAATACCCTGTTATAAGGAAGAGCTGTCTTGTCAGCTGTGGCTGAGAAATTGTTTTAAAGCGTACAGCATATATGCTATCTGTTAAAGATCCTATGCTCTGTTGGGATCTGAATACAATCTCTACCCAATTGACTAAATTGTGGGTTTGTGAGGAAAAACATGCCCTTTGGCTTTGAACAACTTTTGTAGTAGTTGGAAATCCATTGAGTAAGGAGACTGTGAACATAAATGATTCATCATCCATTTACAGCCTTTTACAAAAACACCACTATATGAAACTCAAACCTTTGTTAAATGCCATCTGAACCAGACCGTTTTCTGATCAAGTAGTTGTGCAGCTAAAATTGGACTACTGAACAAGTCTACACGCTCAACGTGCTGAGTGAGCGTTATTGTCCCACCTGTGTATGACTAAACAGTTTAGGCAAAAGTTCGGTTTTGTAATTATTTACAAGTGGAAGGCTATTTCTATTTAAACTTTATCCAGATGTATTAAATGATATATTCAGGATTATATAAATCAATATCTGTTCCTGTCTATGTAAGAATTTGATCTAGTTTGTGACAGCTGAAACAGCATCTATGTTTCTTTGTAGACTTTTTCCACTGGCTGGTTGAGTTTTATTCATCCATTAGCTAAACACGTTCTTTGAACCTAGTATCTACTTCATATGTTCAATACCGGTGAAGTGGTTCTTCATTCTTGTGCAGATAATACTCGGTGTTCTTCCTTCTTAGCCACAGAAACTGTCTATCCCATGAATGGGAGAATTCAAGACTTCTTTAGATATACAAAGGAAACTTGGTTGGCTACGTCACAGCAAACTATCATTCACTACTTGTATTAACTGGCATCTGTCAGACTCAGTAGACCAGTTCTAGTCTGAGATACACCCTCAGCTAATCTTCATCCGTAAAGACAGTTCATCCAGGGTGTCCCTGGTGCAGTGCTTGCCCTGGTGCTGCTTTCTTTCTGGAGACAGAGGCCTCATTTCCCTGAGTTTTCATGGATTTTTGAATAATTTGTGATAGATACTAGTTTTTTAACTATGGATTCTTGTTTCCGTTTAGCTTTTCAATGTTCCCGCCGTGGAGGAGAGTTGAAGATCTCACTGCGTAATGATGGAAGAGTTGACATTGCGGGGCAAATTGCTGTTGTATTAAAAGGAAACCTGACTTTCTGAAGACATTGACGCTAACAATTTCATCTCCCGCACCTTCACATTATTCATATTATGCTGATTATATCTTAGCTCTAGGCAGTGAATCACCACTGTGCTCAAAAGTCTTTGATTACTTATTGTCCATCTTTAAAAATTGCTTGAAAATGCTCACTTCTGATCTTCAAGATCCTTGGTATTGTTTTCTTCACTTTCATCTTGCCACTTCATATGTACACTGATCTCAGAAAATGTCCAAGGACAGCTACCTTGTTTTTCTGCTTTTAAATGATTCTTTTCTTTATTTCCAGTTTCCATTTTTAAAGCCATTCCTGCTTCCTGGATTGAATTGTAAACTTTTCTGATTGATAAAATAATCAAACTTTTTCCATATTCAGTCATTCTCCATGAAATCTGACTACAGGCCTTCAAAAAAAAAAAAAAATCTCTCTGCCGTATATTGAAATGATGCTCATATGTTCATTAATTTAGTTGAATTAAAATATGAAAAAAAAAAAGGTTTAGAAATGTGCTTTATGGTTCCCTTATTATGAACAGTATTTTTCAAAGATGAATGGTATTGCAGTGGCTTGTAGTACTGCTGCTTAGTCAATATTTTAATTAAAGTTTTAGCAGAAAGATTTAAGAGATTGACATAGTGATGCACATAAAACTGGTTAAAATCTGAAAGAAAACCTTATTGGTTACAGCAATATCATTTACTTTTCAAAAACTGAAGATTTGCTTCTAAATTAACAGTGTCTTCTGTAATTTTATTCATGAATGTACTGCTTCAGATTTTGTCACTTTTTCCTTTAGTGTTCTCGTCTTTCTCTGAATTTATTAGGAATATCGAACTGTTTCAGTTACTCTAGCTAAAACTGTTTTCCCTTTCAAATCACTTTTGTCCTAAGCTTTGCTTTAGTTCTTTTCCTTTGCAATATTTCAGGCTGAAGTATTTTGAACTCAAAGGCATTTTCATACTTTGGGAACAGCTGCATGTCAGCCCTTTATAAATGATGAGGAACTTAGTTGTGCCCAGTTTCCCTATTTCCAGTTATTTTGAATTTTATCATAACTTGTAACTTACATCTTACTTAAGCCCGAGTAGCTGGAGGCAAGTAACAGTGTGAGAATCCAAGGATGTTTGGATTGTTTTGCTGCATTTGCTACTTCCTGCTGGCTTATGCAGAGTGAATCTGGCCCGTAATCTGAGATGCTTTGGAAAAAAAAAAACCTCCTTAAGAATATAAATGAACTAAAGAAGCAATTATTGTTCTCCTGTCCACATTTAACAAATAGACAGTACAATTATTTTTTTTTTTTTACTCAAGGGGACTAATGATGAACAAAGCCCAGTAAATTTTAAATATGCTTGCTATCTAAATTTCCTGACCAAACCAATGTCTTTGCTGCTTAATGCATTTTTTTATAGTTTACTACTACTTTGTTTCTATTTCTGTTCAGGATACAAAAATCACCAGAGCTCAGGTGGGAGACCATGCAGTAATGTGTTTGTAATCAACAGCTTAGTTAATCAGCCATGATTTATTAATGATGAATTAATTATACCTGATTGTGCAGTTCTGCTGCCTAAATGGAGCTTTAAAGGAGTTATTTTATTAATCATCATTGTGCTAATTGCAGACACTTACAGAAGGATTGCTAATTAAACATGCAACCATATGCAAAACAAGCAAGGCTGCTGAGAGTGGCAAGAAAAAGAGCACTCATTTTCTGAGTAACAACTATTTTAATGAAATATTGCGTAGTTCACCTGGTGATTCTAATTACTCACTAAGACTTATTTTAATACATTGCATATTTTCAGTCAACAGTAAAGGAAATTAGTTGTTGTGACAAATTCTGTCCATCTTTCCCAGTGCAAAAAATAGGTTGTGCAAACTTCAAATAAAATTATTTAGAATTTGTGTGGCCTTGTTTCACGTTTTCATGTGAAGGATTTACGTGTTGGTTTCATTAGCTGTATATAGTTAATCTAACTTAACTATCTTAACTTTGAGCAAGATCCTGAATGCTAATTTACCTTAGCATCAAATGAAACATCTGATTATACTTGAAATGAGAATTCAGACTTAAAATCGCATGAGTTTCACATCAAGAAGAGGAACACAGTGATGTTTAACTATGTTAATTTCCAAAAGCCAAAGTCAGCACGGAAAATGCAGAAAGGAAACAGTACTTAGAGGTAGATTTCTGTGAAGAGGCTACTATAATTTAAATAAACATTAGTGCCATGTGCTCTTCAACCTATGCAGCACAAATGTTAGGTCCTTATAATGCTAAATACAATCTCTGAGAGCTATAGAATTTCATGCAGACTTTATCATTGTGGACTTTCCATGGACTCTCTTTTTAATGCAAGTTGCTAGGCCTTCCTCATTAATTAAATAAAACTTTGTTTAAGAGAGAATTTTCTGGAACTGCCTGTATAATATTGCAATTATTAACATAGAAGTTTGGAATTTAATGTTTCTCTAAGAACATAGTTACCTTGCATTGTTTTGATTAAATTAAGATGTCGAATCAAAAGTTAAATTAAGTGAAGATACTAAGTGGAAGGTTGGAAAAATGCAATGTCTCTTTGTTTAGTGTTTCTGGTGCAGAGGATTTGCAGAACTGTTTTGTGCTGCTCTCTTAATTAAAACTGTAGCATAGGGATGTGTTGAACCAAGAGCAAATTATGTGAAGGGAAAATACAATTCCAAAAATTCCTGTGCGCTTGAGTGTTTATCATGAGTGTCCAACAGAAGGTCATTAAGTTACAGGCCACCATCAGTTTTGAGTAAATCCCTGGCTAGATCCATCAGCCAAAACATGAACATTTAAATGCACGTTTGCTCATTGTACTTCTTTGGTGTGTGCCTCTGCAGAGGCATAGCTCATGTAGGGGCCAGGAAGAAAGCACATAACCACGAGGAAGCAAGCAATACAAGAAAAAAAAATATTGAGCAACAGAAACCATATAAGTTTGTTGCTATGGAAATGAATGTACAGCTAAAAGGGATTAAAAGAAAATGGGAAGCCTTTTTTTTTATTCAGTAAGCCATTTAACGGGTTTGCTTAAAGGATTCATGAAAATACTTTGCATTTCTTTTGTGTTATCTAGATGAGGATAGACAGAAAACATATATTGAAAAGTTGTTACCAAAACTGGAAAATTTTGCAAAAGGTGGGAATAAAAGATCTCACAAATGCGTGCACAGCAAGAGGTCATAGAAGGGAGCCATGTGTTCCATCAGCGATAGGAAGGGAAATTGGCAACAGATGAGGCAGTTATTTCTCGGAAAGGAAAGATTTCTTTGTCTCAGTATTCATCAGAGTGACAGGGAAGCATGCCAGGAACAGAGGGAACCTTCCCAGAAGTAAAAAAAGGAAACTAAATGAAAATTAAGGGTGGTGCCAGATCAGGTAAAAATTAAATTATTCAATTAAAAACTGAAAAATCTGCCAATTAAGCAGTTTGATTCCGACTTCTTATTTTTTTTTTTTCCCCAAGAGGAGTAGATCTGTCTTTAAAGTAATTAGCAGACTTAAACAAAAAGACAGAACAAGGGCTTTTTCTCAATTGCTGGGTCACGGTCCTTCTTTTATTTCCTAAAATTTACTACAAAACAAAATTAAATATTTTCAAAAGAATGGGAAAGTAGAATAACAAAACCCAATATTACCAGATAGTCAAAAAGTATGAAATTTTTTTTACTACAGGTCAGTTTTAGACTAAGACCTTTAGTTTAGACTTAACATCTAAAGCAGAATTTGAAAAAATAAACATTTCTAACTGTTGGTTTCTTTAGTGAGAGGTTCACTTCGACTTGTGTTTTTGCCTCACTGATTGGCAAAGGAGGACGTTCCCTGGTTTTTAATGTAATGAATCATATAAGCCTAAGTTTATCCACTTACCACTGTTCCATGACTTTTTTTGGTGATACACCCAAACCAAGAAACCACTTTCCCATATGTAATTTTTGCCCTGTTAAGAATTACAGGGTAGATAAAACACATTAAGCAAACTCAAGAAAAATTCTCAAGAATGTTTCTAGAATTGTGAAGAGGAAGGAGTTTGAAGGAGAGGAAGTAGGTTTGTGAGGAGGAGGTGTAATGCCTGTGTAGAGACTGTAATATGTGATCATAATTAAAACACTTAAGGGCGTGCCCTCAGTTTTTGCCACTGGTTGAAGTTAATGATGCAAAGACAGTTTGCATGATCTGGGAGTCGGGTTGAGAGATGGTAGGCTAGAGAAGAGATAATGTAGATTATGGTAGAGCTGGAGCAGAGTATGAGGTGCAGCAAAGCCAGGAACCTGAATTTGAATTCAAAGGTGTTCCCTACTGATCTTTTGCTATGCTTTGGACCCAAACCAAAGGGGTCTTACCAGAGTGCCCGTCCCACCAAGCTCAATTCAGGTGGGAAGCGACAGCTGGAATTCTTGACTTTCTTTTGTTTTGGAAAGCCTCCTTTCTCCATAAATGTTTATGGCTGTAAACAGAAATAAATTATAATCTTTATGATAATTTCAGTCACCCATATTCAGAAAGAAATGGCTCCTTTCTGAACAAAATCTGTTCTAAAACCAGCCTTTTGGACTTCAATATGTTTATGCGTAGCAGCTTTCTGAAGATGTGTCTGATTGACTTACATATTTAACATGGCAGCTTGTGTTTTTAAGGAGTATGGTTACTACAACTTTCAGAAACCCTTCGGCAGTTAATAGGAACAATAAACAAAGTACCCTCTTAATAGCAAACTGCAGGCACTTTCTCAAAAAAGTTACAGTTTCAGCAGAAAAAAAATGTAGATTAAAAGGAAACACCTGCTCCTGTAAATTACTATGCTGCAGGTAGCAACCCAGGAGACTCTGCAGATGGTTCTGTATTTGCAAACCTGACCTCACCACCCCTTCATCAATCTCTGACTGATTGATTCTCTCCAAAGTAGAACCCACCATATCCCAAGGTACTAGAAGACACCTTTGAATTAGTCCCAGTCAGAATACCAATTAAGTGCTACTTTTGTTTCAGTTTGGAAGTTCTTAAAGGATTCAATTGTCTCATCAAGCACTAGCACTGACTAAAAGGTGGTACAGTCAGACGGTTCCAGGAAGAGCTCCAGAGGGAATTGTACTTCAAGAGGTGCAATCTCTGCTAGATTTCCCTGCTGACTGGGAGTGTGGATTAAGTTGTGCTATGCCCTAGGATTTTGAGACGGACAAAAAGAAGGTGGAATCTTGATCCTTAAAATGGTACAATATGAATTCATCACTTCAGTTAGCCTTCCCTGCCAGCCAAGAAAAAGTAGAAAAGAGATCATAAGTTCTGTATGTTCATTTTCCCTCCTCAACTGTTTTCAGGCATCTTACTTCTGTTATTGAGATCTGAGACTGATTATGCTGCTCTTTTCTTAACTAGGACAAATTTTCTCTTGTGCTTCTTCCAGT